TATATATCATACCAAAACATATTTTAGGATAAAATTTGTTTGCAAGGTATAAATAAATTTTTCATTGGCGAATATGTTAATAAATGTAAAATAATCTGTCTGTTAACAATACTATACGATATAATATACATATAAAAAGAATATAAAAATAATATATAATGATTCGATTAGAGATGAAAGACCTTAATTACAGTATCGATTCAGTATAAAACTTTTATAAAACTTTTTTAATAGATATTTTGGTCAAAGCTGTACACACTTTATCAAAGCAGAACGCTCCCCATTTATATTACATTTTAAAGTATAATCATGAGATACAGATAAGCTTTATCGGCAAGCATATATATTTATGTTAATAAAACTCCATTAATAAATAAAAATGTTGAGAATTTATGAATATCTATATCTGTAATATGTGCATATATTTTCTTTGCTTAAAAATATATTATTTTTATAAAAATTACAATTTTGTTTACGTGTGTGCACAATTATGTGCGCTGTATACTCTATATACTATAAATCGTTTTAATGCTAAATGCAGCAACGGATAATTTGAATAACAATTAAAAAGTCCATTAAAATTTCTATAAGCTATTCAGTTGAAGAATTGTTACAAATTATCATTTTAACAATGTATATGTATAATTTGCATAATGTACTATTTAAAATAACGTTTTAGAGAAATTGTTTTAATTTATATAAGATTATATAAAAATTAAGTTTTCAAGAAATGTGTTACTTTTTTTAAATAAAGAAAAGAACATTTTTTTAAAGATACTTGTGATTTAATAGATATTCAACGAATAAAAGAATCGATTACATTAATTTTCGAGCCCAGTTTCTTTTTAGGTCAAAGTGTGTCGTAGGCATATTGCGAGGGCGCCAGTGCACGTTCATCGCAAGCACATGGTAGTAACAGAGGTCGCTCTGAGAATCGCGAGCTTTCAAACTCCACAGCAGTCAGTCGCCAGCCGCCCGTGCTGTATCAACCGGGAGTGGTATTCTCTTTCGGTCAAAAAGTTTATTTTTTTCATCATTATTATAAAGCTTGTCGTAATACCGGAAACATCAGATTTACACTGGTAAGTGATAAAAGCAATTAATTTGATGGATCAATAATTATACATCAAAATTTTTAGTCTATAAAAGCGAAAAGTAATAAACAAATAAACCGCTAAACTGACGCGTTTTATTTTTTGCAGAAAATCTTATAAACTTAAATAAATTTTTATATATATTTTTGAAAAAAAATAGAATTTATAATTATTAGATTTGTACAGTAATCAACAATAATCATACGTTCACGCAAGGATCAATAAAAGCGTTAGCCATATGCACTGCCTGATTACAACTTCTCTTTTTGTCCAGCTGTGGCTTGTTACGTACTAGTTAATTAGTTTGTTGGGCGTTAGCAAAAAGACGCGTAAGACGACTTAAATTGGAGTAATTACAATACATTTATCCATTACGTTTTTGCGAAAATCGTGTAGAAAAAAAATTTACATAATACTTTTATTACATATATGTATAATTTTATCATTTTAAGGAAAATCAAAACAAATCTTTAATATGCGATTAACGAATTTTGAAAAATAAATATTTTAATATTTTAATTTCTCTGAGCTTCTTTATGTGATTGCATGTAGAATGCTGATTATTTCTTTAATAAAAGGACATTCAGTCAAAACGGCATTTACCGTCTTATAGATTTTATTTTTTACCTTTGTTCTATTTATTCTGTTTTACAAATTTTTACAAATTATTTTTTATGCATTATTCAAAAAAATAGAATTTTTCGAAAATTCCGATTTAATAATGCTGTGTTTTTCCAATAAATGCATTGTAATATTAGCACGTGGACTCTGTATTATGCGATCGGCATTGATGCGATACTTTGCTGCATAAAATTTGTTGAATATTTAGAATAACATGTAATAATAATATAGTACATTTAAACTATAATATAAGTAAAAATTGTGTAAAATTTAATTGTTTAAATATGTACAATTTTTAAAGAACTGTGTTATATTAAAAGTGTATGTGTTCAGTAAAACCAATTTTCAGAAATCTATTAAATTTTTGGGTCACCATTATAGTTTAAATATGATGCAGTTGTATAATGCATCACATGTTGAGCTTGCGTAATGATATTAACAATGCATTTATCCGAGAAGCACAGCAAGTAATCATCAAATTGGAATTTTCGGAAAATTCTACCCTCTTGAATGATGCATATTTCTCGATAACGAACATTGCAGCTTCCTATAATCGATTTTATGTACCACGACGAATAATGGTTGACATGATCAGCGATCCGTCCTATCCGTCTTCCTATGTAAATGATTCGGTACAAGGAACGGAGATCACAAGCCGTTCTATTTCCATCATAGGTGTGCACGCCTACGAACGATTTGCATTAAATGACAACGATGAGAACAACGACGGCGTCGCGATTAAAATTCATCGACTTATAGATCCCTCGGCTAGCTCGTTAATCGAACGTCATTTGGAATAAATTCATACAAGCTCGCAAAAACTATGATAACCAATAAAATTTTTCATTCTATTAGACAGCAATATTTCCATTTCAAATTATATTACTTAGATTGTTCGTATTTTATTATTTAAATTCACGTTAATGACAAAAAAAGAACATAAAAACACATAAATGCGTTTATCTGCTAAATTATTGTCATGCTTCATTTTGTGTTAATGTTATGCGCCAATAACTGTATTATTTATTACGAATATATATCTCTTCCTCATCAGACTGTTCAGCTGGATATAGATTTTCAAATTGCTTCAAGGATTTCCGTATCTTCAAACTAATCTACATTAATGCGCTTAGGAAGAGGAAGTTCTTGCAGTTAAGTTGACGTAGTCTCATCTACAAAGTTGCATTGTTACTCGTTTAGATTAAGAAACGACGCCCCAATTTTACATACGAATGTGCAAGTAAAATATTCGTAAGCGAGTTAATGGTACATACAATAAAAGCTCTCATCACACGTATGCCTCGTAGACTTTTGTTTTTACATCGTTTTCTGGAGATGTGAGCGGAATTAAAGATAAATAAAGACGATGCTTAGCATTCTATCGTCCAAAAAATGGCTTACACGTAGTGAGCTTCGTGTACCTGATGATCTCAACGATAAATTCGATGTACTACGGAGGAGAAGAAGTACGTGCCAGCTTTGCTAAATGTCCAGCATACTCCGGTTACTGTCGAGCGAGTCGCTTTCTGGATACAGAACCGGTCGTATTTCGCCATGCTTTAAATGGCAACGAATTGATCTCGGCTAACCTTTTAAAATATTCCCCGATAAACTGTGCTCGAACAAAAGGTTGACCTGAGAAACAATCTCGCCGACTCGATTGCACACGCGAACAAGAGGTAAGAATTCGTAAGATTTCTTACGCCTTTCGCGATTTCTTTCAACTCTCCCTGCATACATCTCCATCGCGATATCCATTGTTCTTCCGTTTACTCGCTAGACTTTCATGATCTGACGTACGTATAGTTCGCTTTTAAATGTACGGCGCGTGAAGCACATCGATCAGACGGCTCAGCTTACGCGCAAATAATATCAAAAGTGGAGTTTTTCGATACATATTTCTTTACATCCGTATTGCAAAATCACCAGCTCTGTGTTTTTTATTACAAAATATAAATATTGTGATTATTTTTCTTTTATTGTAATAGAAACTATATTCGACATGAACCGTAACTAATGTGTATTTTTTAATAAATGTTTTTAATATTTACATTTATATTTATTTTATTCTATTTATCTTAGCTTTTTTATTTTATTTTTACAGAATTTAAAAAAAAATGCTTGACAAGAACAGAACAGATCTTGTTCTTGATGGATGTCAATGTACACAAGATATTTGAATATTTTTAAATTTTAAATAAATGAAATACATTCTCACTTTTAACCTATAGGTAATGTTAACCAAAATTGCGAAACTATACTCGGAAACTAGGAACCATTAATACCAGGGATCATGTCATTAGTACAGAGTACAGAGACTTACGACTCTACGGTGGATTATCTGTAATACAATTCGCCGATAAATTCGTTAATCCTACCAACTTCTGCACTCGAGAAGAACACGGCTTTCATTAAGTCAATTTTATAATGTTTCCTTAAAAGGTGCTTATTACACACATGGGTGCTATGTATCTTTTATACATACATATGCGGATACTGTATATTCAAATAATGTAATTAACCGTGAGCTATAATTTTCCGTCGATTTACGTACATCGGGCGTGCAACAAGCTTCAGTCTCGCCCCAATCAGCTTGTGATCGATAGCGATCATGGTTAATCCGCGGCGAATACTACAACATACTACAATAGTTTATACGCGCTGGTAAATTGCGCGTAATCAAGTAAATAATCTTCGACATCGCAAATTGCAACAACATGAAATTCCACAATAATTTAAGGATCCGCATTGCTACAGGAGGATTAACATGACGAAGAATATCACGGTATTTTCATTAATTTGTAAATCGATGGCTCTACAATGATGACGTGTTCCATAATAACAGAGAAATTTTTGCAGCTTTTAAAAAACGGTAGTTTCTCTTTCCACGCTGCACGAAAAGCGGATATTGAATTATTCTTTCTTTCCTTTCTTTGTTAGAAAAAGGAAATTGCACTCGTCAGAAACAAATATAACAATTGTACTGAATTTGTAGACAGATACTTTGGTAACGTGAAGTTTTCATCGCGCTAATGCTCTTTGCCGATATTCAGTTGAATTACTCATATAATTTATCAATAAACTTTGAGCAATATTAATTTTGCTGATAAACAAATACAGGCAATCAGCTTAAAGTTAAATTAAGAAATTAAAGTTAAATATTGTTTTAATTCGCTCATTTTCTGTTAATGGTACTTTTAACATTTACATATGTGCGCGTAAAGAACATGTAAGAAACTTTGCAGGCATTATGAAAGCATTATCTTTATACGTGTACTAACATTATAAGAAAAGATACATAGCACGTAGCAGAATCACCAAGCTAAATTTTAAACCGGGAATTTTTGTTAAAAACTTTTTTTCTCCTTTTTCCCCCTTCAAAAATGTTGATAAATGACTCTTTTGTGTTGGAGCGTGTTTGCGAAATACCAGAATATTTGCATTCCGCCATTATAAATATATAGCAATTAGTTGTCAGTTACGAGTGGAATAACATACGATCCAACCGTAATATATCCTCTTTCGTCTACGAGCTTCCCGTACCATTTCGCTCTTCCGTCATTGACCCTCTTCTCCCGCGTTTACTACCATCGATCGCGGCATTCGTGCTATTCGGCGTTTTAATCCCTGTTATTTATTTTTTTTTTATTATTGCGGCGTCGAGCAGCGCGTGTCATCCGTGATGATTTATCGGCAGATCGGGAGTCGTTGCTTACGTGCATTTTTACAAGCTGTCTCATTAATGTAACTCACTTTGAGTGATTCTGATTATTCAGGATTTGTGCGAAGACCCGAGAGTTTAGTGGAGAACGTAGACAAACACTGCCAATTTCCCGCCGTAAATATTATAAAATTGCGTTTGCGCTTTGGAATTGTCAAACTAGCTCTTGTACGTGTCCGCGTAAATCTCTCGCATGGTTTCTCGCCGCGTTTCTTTCACGATATCGGTAACCCATCGGCAACGTGACATCACGAGCGGCGAACAAGATCGATCGATTCTGAGACGTGCCGCGAGTTAAACTCCCGCGAGATCCGACAGTCGAGTTCTCTCTACAGTCCCTTTGCTGGTTGGAGAACTCTTGTGGAACCTGAATCCCTCGAAGCGAATCTCGAAAAAGTGGATATAAAATGAGTCGAAAGACGAATGAAATGGTTGTCCTTTTACATTTCAAACCCTGTACATTATTTCATATTCGAGACATATCTCATTAGCGCGAGAGATTATTATTACATGAGGAAGGATAATAATTAATTTAGAGTAAAAATTTTCGATTTTTAGTTGCTCATTATCCTAAGTTAAAATTACGTGCGGAATTTGACCTACATTATATGCAGAAATACTGAAAGCTTTTAATTGCGATTTCCCCTCAGTGGCAGAGATTTGGTACTGTCTTGATTAATATAATTTAGTTTAAATTGTCTCATATTCTATAAAATATAGTTATAAAAAATATAACAATATAACGATGCCATTGTCATCATCTCCATTTATCCTATTATTAAATATGGCGACGACACATTGTTTTGAATATGTTTTGGCGTTGCACATTATAAAATGACGGTATAAAAAAAACGGCTTCGCGCAATAGTAACATCCTTTAAATTAAAATTGAAAAAAAGAACAAATAACAAAACAGGGAGATAAAATGTGTTAAAAGAAAAATATGTCAGATTATCCTTAGACACAACTTTTTTTCTATCGATCACAATTGCGAATGTGGTGTTTTCGAAAGTTACATGTGTCAAGAAACGCTGAATATGCTCTACCGGAAATGCTATACTAATAACAGAGAACGTGGCGAGCTACGTCGCGTATACCTCAACTGCGATTTCAGCAGTAGCTTATGTGATTCGTCGCGTCATAAATATCGGTGGGAAACGACTTCCGGGAACGTTGTAACGGATTCCGTGCTGCTTCCAAAGCCGAGAAGCAGTATCGTTACTCCAGGGAAAATCTTTGGAAGTCACACATATTGCAATGCCACTGCCATTGACACTGTCTTCCTCCATTCGACTGTTGTGTGCACGTAAATTACGAACTATCTAATCGTAAATATTTCATCCATCGTCTTTGAAAAGAATTATATTCTAGAACGCGTATGTTATAAAATTAAATTATAAATAATATTAATATTAAATTATATTAATATTAAATTATAAAAAATACGCAATACGCGACAAAGACGATACAAAGATGCAAATTTCCGAATATATAAAATTTTAATGCGTATTATAAAAAATTAATAATATTCAAAGTTACAATAGTTATTATAAAGAAATAGAATAAATTGTAAAATAAACAAATGCCTTGTTTCATAATAAATAGCAATTTTTGTCGCGGCCAAAATGAATGCGAGTAGAATTTCGAAAAAGTGCGCCGGCTATCACCCGCTCGATAGCAGTGAAGTTTGCATTGCAAATCTACTTACGTTGTTATTCGAACACAATAATCCAGCTATTTACTGGCCAGATTGAGTGCGCATATTTCAAGATGGAAATTGTGAAGGCGCCCGCTTGCCTGTACGCTTTTTTCGGGCGAGATCACAGTTTCTGCTCTACGACCGCAAACTGGCTGCAGCTAAATCCCTGAGAAACTGCAAAAGTTTCACTGCCGCTAGCTCTCCGGTGCTATGTGTTGCCGTTCTCTTCTAACCAACCGACATATTACTTCGTCTTCTCCGCTTCGTATTTCTTTCTCCCTTCCCTTCTGCTTGCGTTCTGCTTTTGTCCGTTCAATCTTTGCTCTTGATAATCGTCCTACATCTTTGCGGCAGGAATATGCCAATATTCTGTCGAAGAAATCTAACGAGCCAAACTTCATAACGTCGATTCCATTAGACGCGCGGACGCCTTCGAAAACAATATACCCAAAGTTTGCAGAGAGTTGGCTGTTGTCTGCTCCGATTCTCAGAGCTTACGGAACATCACCCGTAGGGCTTGCAGTTCAAATTCTTGCGGTGTGAATAGTCTTCTGCAAATTTTTCTGCCACGTTTTCGCGCAAATCTGTTAGCTCGAGAAAGCTATTCCTCTTCAATTTTCACGAAATGCACTAGATATTACATCGTATTTTTGTATCGTACAATAGCACATATTATTTGTCTGTATTTATCAAATAAATCAAATGTCGCATTATGATGAAAGATAATACTCTATATCATGGCATGTTTAGTTTAAACTAAACACTATCTAGTGCACGTTCTCGCGGCGATTTGCTAATGAACGCAAAATTACAGAACATTGTGAGCTCATATTGCATTTGCACTAAACTATGCTCATTATACGTCGAAGATTGTGTATAGGTAGCGCGAAATTTGATAAGCGATATTTGGTATTTGAAAATTTTATTAGGACAATATTAAACGCAACGTTCCGAAAATGATTGCGTAATTATTTCATAACAGCAATGTATATTTCTTCCCTTTTAACACGAATCCCCGAAATTGTATTTCGTATCTCGTTGCCATATTGATTTCTATTAACGTTCAATTTTTGTAATACACGTATCGCAAATTAAACGTAACAAACCAATATTAAATTTTTATTCGCAGAATGATACCTGGTTCTGAAAACCTAGTTACGCAAATTTTGACAAACGTTATTTTATTATCAATCTTTCTGTTTTTCTAAAAATCATATCAAGATACTAAGTTATTTTTCCATTTTAATTTTTAATTTAACTTTTCTAATTCTTTTAAATATTGAGCAATTTATTTTTAATAGCTACTGTAACTAATTGTTCTGCTAAACAGTTATACATTGTATATTTGAGATAATAACATCAATATTGCATTTCGACACTGGGATGAATCTATCTGAAAGATCTATTTCACAACAGCACAGTATGCAAATTGTTGTTGAAATAAAATGCATTAAGCTTTCAACGTATCTTTGTTCTCTCGCTACTCCCCTTATCCGTTTTTTTTTGTCTTATCCATTATGTATCACAAAAAAAATCTGACACTTATGGATAAAATTGTACTCTTGAAACACGAGCAGAGCTAGGCGTGTCTCTAGTAAATTTTCCATGAAAGATGAATGGGTTTTTTCGGGAGACGAAATCGCGTTTCCTTCGCGCGTTTTCCTCCCCGTTTGTTATACCTGCCCCTCCCTTTGAATATGGGTTTAGAAAAAAGAAGGCGGATGCATCTCGCGGGGTAATAAAATAATAAATTTCTAGCTCGTACCTAAATTCTCACTTGTTACGGATGTCATCGCATTTTTCTTGTGCGTTGTCCACAGTAACTTCCATTTTCGTTTATTTCCGCGCGCCACTCCACGAAATGCACATATACGAACAAAAGCAATACAAAACAACGTACGCACTGCGGCAGCAACTATGAGAAATAACACAGTCGATATAAGTTCTGGTAGTTGACTAAATTTTAATAGAAAAATATAATTGTAATATATTCAATCGTACGGTTTTGACGACTCAAAAAGTCGAATTGTTCATTAATTGTCATTGGCTATTTTACAAAATATATTATACACGTAAATAGAAAATTTAAAAGAATGAAAAATTTATATAGAAAGATAATTTTGTATAAGTAAAAAAAAGTAACAGCGTTCTGCTTGAGAGAATTTTCTCTATTATTGATCTTTCTATTTCGAATCAATCATTTTTAATTAATCTATCCGTTTAATTTGATATTCAATGTATTGATGAATATTAAGCAGATCTAATTATTTGTCTATTAATAATTCAATTATGTTTTAATCAACATATCAATGGAACATTCAGGTCACACAGTGTTTGTATCCTTCAGCAATGTTTGGGTTTCAGATCGAGGAGGAAGGGAAAATAGGAAACTGTGTGGATAGCCTCTTCAACAACTCTGACGGCATCTCAAAAACCTCGGGGAATGCGAAATCCGATGGACAATGACAGGATCAGCGTGGGGGTCGAGGTTTCTCCTCGTACTGGCCGCGATTACGATCGTTATCAGCGGCAATTATCAGCGACATCGCGACAGATTTCATCTGCGCGAGCAGCTCGTTAACGGTCACAAAGTCACCAGGAATATCACTCAATTGCAAGGTGCGTTATGTGGTGATACGATGTAGTTCGTTGCTGATATAAATACCGCAATTATTTTTGTAGCGCATATCAAAACGAAACGTCAGTGAAATAAAATATTACCGGCAAATTATTTTACTTTTCAACATAGCAGCTCCTCCACTTCGCATTTCGCAACTTCTCGCGTTTTGATTTGCAAACTTAATTCTAACAATTATAAACAAAAAAAAATTAATTAGACTTGTATCACGCGACCGTGTAGAAAATTGGTGCAGACGTCATTTGATATAGACGTCATTTTGAGCATATTGAGATTCATGAATATATTTTGTCGCGTAGAACAATTCAAATTCAGAGCGTAGAGAACTTGAACTTTAATTACCCGTTCCAAAGTTAATCACGACGTGACTAAATCGAATGAGAAACTGAGCCGTAAAAGTGATACGTTTGGTGCAAAAGTTAGTTGAACTTTCATGTACCTCGCCCTGCGCCAAACTTGAGAGCATGGCCAAGTTTCGATACTGTATAAAATTTTACGATGCAACGCGATCTAAGGCGATTAGATTATTTCTAACACTGACAACTAAAAATACTTTAAAACACGTGAAAATACACTAATTTTTGACAATTCAAGGTGTGCCTATGGTATTAAGATATTCGTATCATAAATAAAAACTGCGTCTGACAGTTTGACATCTCTAACTGTTTGATAAAAGATTAAACATGTAATTAAAATACGAATAATAGTTTACACAATAAGTAACCTAATCGTTAAAAATATTATTTAAATTTTCCCTCAACGATCATGTTGCGTAAATATCTAGATATGTTAAATGTTTCAAATTGTTCAAAATTAATGCAATTGTGATGTCGGAACGTTATAGTGAATTTTGCTAAAGCAAAAAGTCAGTGAATAAAAATAGAATCGCAAAAAAGGAGAAAATAGAATCATTAAGGTTAATATTGTAGATTCTCTTGTTCGTAGACGAAAAATTATTTTCTCCGTGAGTCTTGCTGCGATTGGTAAATTACACATCGAATGGCTACATCGTCGATTTCCGATAGACTACAATCTCGTATCTGTATTAGCTTGACCGTTCGGATATTTACTTTCTGTAGAAGCTTGCGCTAGCTTTCTCGCTCGAAAGCTAGTAAAGAGATGTACATCCGCCCTACATTGCTTTATAGTAGCTCCTGGATTTCAATGTTGAACCGATTAGACTTTAAGAGTCGTTCGCTACAGTCAACCGTTCTAGAACTCTCATGCAAGTGCAATTTCAGCTTTTCATAGCCGTATGTGAAAAAAAGTTGCGCGCGCTTGAAACGAGCGCGCATTTTAACATCATTTAAACTCTTTGTTCCTCTCGAAATTTATTACTTCAAAATATTAAAAATTTCGTATATAATAAAAAATATATTAAAGTGTATAAAAATACACAAAGAGCGTTCACATTTTCTTGTTTACTTTTACATTATTAGTTTTTAAATTAAAAGAGAAATACATTTTTTTCTAGGACTCTATACAAAAATATATAATATAACTCGCGTATTATTCTGTTTTATTATCACTCCGCTTCGTAATAGCGCTCGCATTATACTAAATCGTTTAGAATAACATGTACGGTTGTCATTCTTAAATCCTCATAAAAGTTTAACTCTGTCGTCGCTACGACGTTTTCTTAGAATCCGTACTTACGCTGATGTGGCGCAATTTTATCCAGGGCTTGAAAAGATTTATTATCACAATCACTGTATTAGAGTTAATATATTATGATATATAAATAAGCAAAAAATTGTTTTCTAAGAATGTTATATTTTTAAGAATGTTTTTAATATTTTTTAAGAATGTTTTTTAAGAATATTTAAAAAAATGTTTTTTGCATTGAACAGCTTCTATTGTTTGTCGCACATTTTATGCATATTTTTCTCCTTTTGTCTGTATATATATATATTGTGTAACTATATAGATTGTATTCGATGTGTGTACGATACTGCCGCATCTGTCAAGACGAGAAAGTCGCATCGGGTAGTCCGGAAGTTGCTCGATGAAATATTCAATTCAAAATTCGTTTGGTAACTTGTCATTCGATTGTGCAAGTATGCGTGAGTGCTGACTACGTACATACAAACTGTCTCGAGCTATTTACAAAGTTTGCCGTTGCCAATCCGCGTCACACATTTTACAACTTCGACGCACAGAGAATCGGAAATGAAATCTTCCCATTCCCTCTCACTAGCACTTCCTTATTTATGAATTAGTAATAACTTAGAGAAGTTATAATCATTAACAGCATGCAAAACAATTTTTCCGATTTTGCCGCAACGAATAATAATTTTGTGAACATCAACGTAATCCGTGTAATAAAAAGTAGAACAAATTTTATACATGTATATGAATAAATAATATTTTTGTGCTTTAACTATTTTGCTACGAAGGATGTATATAATCACAGCATTCTAAAATGGTTCACTGCTGCAATCAAGCGCAGTTATCTGTAAAATCTAAAAAATGTTAGAAGTATATACATGCCGTACTAATTTTGACATATTCTTGAATTCGGCCAATCGATCGGACTGTATTCTTATATTGGTGTATCAAAAAAATTAGTTTTATTTTTGGCGATTAGTTGACGATATCTCGCAAATCAATCACCCGAGATAAAAAATTCTGAACTTATGAGAAAACCTGGAGTCTCAATTTTCAAATAATACTTGGTTCAACTCACTGCGGCGTTCTCTTCCATGATTATATTTTTAATGATTCTAGTCCTGAGAGCAAATTCAACAAGAGGTTTACTCGGCTCTACTACCGGTCGACTAGTTGGCTGATTAGTTGATCGTAGTACGTACAAACTGTCTCATAATAGTATAATAATTACACAACACCCATATATACACGCGTGTTTATTCACCAATAATGTGCATGCGCCGGATTTTCAAAACGCTATAATAAATTAACGTAGCAACACGCGGCAAAAAAACATTCTCCGTGCTTTGCTTATACTCAATATGTTAGTATACATTACTCAATATATGTTACATGCAATGCATTTCTTCATATTATGACATAAATACACATATACATACGTATATAGATTCGTAAAATATAAAATAATGTATTATAAAATACTGTCTAATAAATATAAAATAATTATTTATTTGTAAATAATATTAATATTTAACTCGTGATAAATAGATTATTAAAAAAAAATAAATTTATTAAAGTTACTGATTGCAGAGCAAAAATATAAATGCACTAAATTCCACACACACACACAAGTTACTTCCTTTTAAAAACGTAAATATCATTTATATAAAAAAAAGTAAACTTCTATATTTAATTAGATATTTAAATTTTTGCAATACATCTACATTTTTAAAATTCTACTGCTTTTTGTATTCTATTATTGTTATATATTTATAAATATTATAAATTATTTATTCAATATTTATAAATATAAGTAAATAGATTGCATTGACATAACAATTGCATTAAAGTAATATCACTGACGTAAATTTCTTTGTAATATTTGACACATCAAACGAAACACAACGAGACATTACGAGGCACAGACAGTTATTGCACACGAAACTTCTGGTTTGTAATGAAGCGTACAGATACGAGACATGTGGAATGCGTAGCGGAAAATGGATCTGACCATATGAAGCACGTTTGACCTATTTGTCACACCACGGAATTACAAATTTAGTTCCATTATGCATACTTCGTGAACTAGATGTAGTGATAACATTGCATAAGAAACGATGCATAAAAATTCTTAGAAAGATGATACAAATTGATAAATAAAAATAGAATACTGCTAATATAACGCCAAGTTAAAATATCTTTTCAGTGGCTTTAAATTAAAAAATTATGCTTTTAATATTTCATATTCTACAAAATACGAGCAATTGTAAATATACTTAATTATAGAATGTAATTAAATTATCCGAGAATTAGCTCTTTCTTCCGTTCTTGCAACATTCGTGCAACATTTCGTGCAACATTGAAATTCTTCCTTCACCGTGGAAGTGGCAATCCAATTAAGCAACTAATTTTAACGGTACAAGTTGTATGAGGGAGAAATGAAATTGCATAAATACTCGGACGCACAACATCGTGGTAACGCAGTGATGGAGAAACGAGGAAAGGACGCGCGCGGAAATGCGGCCATGGTTGGGCCGCAATGGTTTAATATCGCGCATCGGCCGGAAGGATTACCCAGAGGATTACATGCAAAGTTCTATCGTTACGAGCAAGCATGTCATCTTGTCGGAATTGGCGTAGCGCCGCCTGTCCTGCGAGTATCTTTTGTCGCAGGATAAAACTTGTCGTCGCGAAAGGGACAACTTGTCACTTTAATAAAGTGTTGAATCCGGTGATATTGGTTTTCCGATGATTGATAGGTCATATCCTTCTTATTACTTACGAGAGTAATTACAACTTTTGCGACAGGATCCTTTGTAATCCGCAATTTAGGAACAACGTTGTTTCTCCGCACCGCAAAGTTTCTCAACATGGTACCTTGCCGTGTGCAGACAATATATAATTTCAGACGTCTCGGAAGAATTTTGTAAAACGATTTTGCCGGTGAAAATTGATACGTTGAAGTATATTAAGAAATATGATCGTGGAGCAAATACGTGATATACACAAGCGTGGTGTTCGAAATTCGAAAGCAAAAAAAGATTGCATTTTTCTCCACATAAAAAGTCTTCGCGCAACTTTCGGCTGCAGTCGAACACTGGTCCAAATTATACGGATTCCTTTGGCTTTCGTAATTGGATTTACGTCGGGCCTGTAGAGCAAAGTATGAGAAACTCCCAAACGTCGTCTCATCCGAAGGATCGCGGAAGCATCAACAGAGCCGGCACTGGCCGATGAAAAACGAGCGACAAGACGGATGGTAGCATCTTCGGCTATGCTAGCATCTTTGCCATAAGGCGATGTACGGAAACAAATGATCTTCTGGATGTATATTTATTACGTCGCCGTTGCACGACCTCAATTGTGTAGTAGA